TCGATTACAAATATTCTACATTGTCCGGAATTATATTACAGCACCGTCTGTGTGTCTTCTTTTCCATAATGTGTGCTCGGGAATAAATTAATACAAATGCGTGATACAAATATAACATCGTGGTATGTAATTAAAAAACATAAATCAAATTATGATAAATGATTACGCACCGTCGAATAAATTCAATCTTCTTTTTCAGTAGATAACTGCACCGTCATGGCGTCGTTGACTTCAACGATCTGGGCTTCAGATAACGAGGAGGATATGTCGGAGCATATCCACGTACGCGAAGAGACAATAAAAAAGCCCTTCTTGCCTTCGCAAAGAACGCTGCGAACATTCGTCCCAAATTCGGTAAGCTAAATATTTATGTTTCCTGCTCCCGAGCCTGTTTGTCGGCAACGTTGTTACGGAATACGCGAAAAAACCCTGCGACGTGTATAGTATACTCCGCCGAAAAAATTTCAATGAGATGCAAAAAAATCGATTCATTCACGTATACATATATGCACAAAGTTGCATAAGGGCGCAACATAAACAACGCTTGCTTAAAGGCAAACCGAGTTTTTTTTTTTTTTAAATAAATTGATATTCAATGCGTTCGCACGGAACTTTTTAACTGTTTCTTTATTTACCGTTGCAGCCATATTCGGTTGACAAAGACCGCACCTAATTTTTTGCGGGAGATCCTTGTACAGATTGTGGCATTCGAAACTTTTGGAAGGAAATCTGTTCTATCGATTAAACCGAATATTATTTGGGTAATAATTATTTAATAATTTAATGGTTAGACTGTGGATTTTATGCATTTATGACAAAAAATAGTTGATCAAATACAAAACAGTAAGAACATTTAAAGAATTTCACATGAAGTTGGAAAGGGACAATATATTGCAGAACTTTGATGTATGCAATTTGTTTAACGAGTTTAAAAATTCTGGAATTGTAGAAGTCACTTTATATCATTTTTAAGCGTTTAGTAATTAGATTTGGAATGTTTCGCATTTAATAGCTTCATATATTAAAAATCAAAATATTACATTTGACTCTTTACATTAAAATAAATATTCTAATAAATATTCTATTCCAGTCAATCAAGACTTGTTTTATTCTACCACCCTAAAATGCAGTATAAGGATCCTATGAATTTTCTGCTGCATATATATATATGTAAAATCTACTGCTCTCGTGTAATATGTACTTACCTCATTATACTTTAATAGTTCTATTCTAATATTTATACTATAATGTTACTTTTAAATTTAAACAATTTTTTTAATCATATGAATGAAATTTATTAATTAAATTCAACCAAACGACTTCTAAATTTAAAATGCGAATTAAAATTCGCGCTAAGGTTAAACTGTATTACTTTTTGAGCCAGTAAATTTAGATCGTCTGCGTTTCCTTCTGAGAACAACATGTATAAATATAACCCATTTATTCGAAGCATAATTAAATAAATAAATCATGTATTCTGCAATCCAATGAATGCATTGATACTAATTTGTTAAAATTGTGAGAGAAGCTATACATAGTGGAGGCTTTGTGTCGAAGAACCTTTCGAGAAAGCGTGAATAATTCGTCCAGCAAGGGTTCATGGTTACTGATCTATCTGAATTCGATGCTTTCTATTCTCTTAGTTTTTGTCAACGGAAACAATGTTACAAGAGGATTAAAAAATGTGAGGCATGCCCGTACTCGCGATCGAGGAAGCTGAATTCCCGAACTGAACGTGCAAACGGTTTGTCCGGTTTTCGAGGTAGAGAGTTCATTGAACCTTGGTTGCAAGGGATCGATCCCATACGGCTACCGAACGTGTCGTACGTGCGCAAACGATCATTGATCTGTGACGCGCCGCTGCCTACATATTATCTAGTTCGAACTCTAGGCGTCGAATAAGACGTACTCCTCGTAATTAGACGTAGAAACGAAACACCTCAGCTGTTATCACTTTCACCGGCGGGAATGATTTTATAAGAGATTTCTGGGTCAAGGTGCATAATTTCTACCTCTCCCGCTAGTCCAGACGAAGTCTCGCGAAAAAACTAGACTCTGCGTGCTCCTATTTAACACGTTGACACTTTGGTTGCCACGCCAACAACCTCCAAAATCTCATGAAATTAAAGTATTTCATTTAATCAGATTAAAATCGAAAAGTTAAGTTGCACGATAGTACAACATTCTTACGTTTTGCGAAGAAATTAATTTTTAAATGTGGACAAATAATTCCGTGTCGCTCATATGTGCATATGGGTGGTTGAGGGGTTGAGTGTCGGAAATCATTCCCAAAAATTTCTACGAAGTACGTATATGTAATTTGATTTAATGAAGTTGAAACTGGAAAGTTGAAATTTATGAAATATAACATCAAATCGAATACATTACAATACAAATGAATTCTGATAAGTAGTTAAAAGGCAGTGTCACCCATACTATATCACCAACAACGACACTCACTGTGTTAACACTCGAGCAAAAATGTAACTGAATATACTTTAAGATAATTTTCATTCTACTTATCAATTTTATTCGACATATTTCTTAAGATACTCCTTCTGAACGCGTCAATGTTTCTATAGACCTTAATAAAACGTATGAAAATTTAATTAAATTAAAAGAATCTAGATAGTCAAATAATAATTTTTAATGTCTGAGTATAAATGGACCCAAACCCCGTTTTCCTAGTGTTAAATAAGACGACGGAAAAATCGTGTCAACTTTGGATCAAGGAAGGTTTTACGCTTTAGCGTGCTTTTACTAGTGAACTTTTTGTATTTCAATTAATGTTTTAATTTATTCGTCGTTGCGCTTCGTCTTTGGCTCCACGAATGTTTCTTTGATTTTTCAAATTAGAAATTCACATTGGCGAAAGTTCCAAACGAAATATCCAAAAGCTTCTATTTGTAATCATGCAACAAACAGAATCAAGCAAACAACAGAATACAACAAATAGACTACAAGCTTATAGAGTGTCTATGAACGTCGTATGTGTTTATGGTATTTCATTACTTTAATTGCAGATAATTTTGAGTTTTACATGTTGTATTTCATTTTTGTTTGGAAGTAATAATTTATATTGTCCGTAATTGTGTTTTTTGAAAGACACTTGTCTGAATTTTGTCTGGCATTTTGTCTGAATAATTCTGATAAAAAAAGAAAAGGAAATAAAAGTAACGATGCAGTAATAGATTATGTGAACATAGATTCGATATTAATATTTCTGTGAAAGAAGGTTAGATATTCGTATCGGTGAAAAATGATACCAAGAATAGAATAGGATCTTTAAACTCCATAAGATTGATGTTCGCTGGTTGATTTCGTTGCGAGTGCACAGAAAGCACCAGAGCTCTCTGTTTTCTTTTCTGAAAAAAGGTTTCCACGATTATTTCAGAAGACATTATAATCATAAATACAAGATAAATGGACGCAATAAATATTCCAAGGTAGCTGATAATTGAAGAAGATAATATTTTCAGCGAACAATCAATCTCGAAATATTTTATCCAAATGATTGTTGGTTCTATCTTTAGACGATCGGAAACTATACTCGGCCGGAGTTATTCATTCAATGTGTCTCTCCACGGACGTCAGGATCTCGTCTCTTTCGTTATTGTTATTCGATTCCACCTACAGAAAGTAATTCTGCGAGGATGTTTCCGATGTCTCATTGCTCAAAGTCCAAAGAAGCTTGTTAAACGTTTCTTCAATCGATCCTCATCCTCCGGGTTTCTTTTCTCCCTTTTACCACTTCTTCGCGGCCGAGGCGGACCTCTCGGACCATTGTTAAACCTTTTTCGATGTTATTACACGTACGATATGTAAATGCGTCGCCGGGTCCGGTCTTCGATGTCGGAGGACCAGCTCCAAGCTTTTTCTTTCTTTCATTCCGATCCTACTCTCTATTTCTCTTTTATTCCACTCGGCTCCTTCTCTCATCTTGGCAGGGGCGGATCAGATCGGAAACGTCTCTCGATAAAATAGACTCGTGAGGAATAATTAAGAAATTCATTGGAATTCACAGAAAATACATCGTTCGAAATACATGTTAAACTCGATCGTGTATAAATTTTACGAACTCGCGATTGCAATAAATGCAAAATATAACTTTTTCAGAAATACGTTATGCCTCTTTTTAATATTTTTAGATCGATTTAATATTTGCTGAATATTTCGTTGTTTTATAATCACAAAAAACGCAAAATGTAAATTTTTTCATAATTATTATCCCATTTTAAGTATTTATACATAGATTCAACATTTATTGAATGTTGTCTCGTTTTATAATCAGAAATGATTTGAATTTCATATGTTTAATTTAAAAATCAAATGTATATATTGAAATGTAACGAACATTTTACAAAGTTTTTGTAGCTGCAAAATCATAGTAGATATGAAAGAAAATGCAGAAGTACTATTTTAATCGAAGACAGGGAAAATTAAATAAAGTTAGCGTATTAAAAAGCAACAAATATTTTATAAAATTTTTTAAGCCATGAAGTCATGGTGGATATTAAAAGATAATGCATACAAACATATGTAGTGTTATTTAATAAAAAGAAAGGTAGAAAGAAATTGAAAATTTTTTTCGTTATTTTATTGGCTAAGTAACTTCGAGCAAACTAGCAAATCTTGATCGGTACTCCTTTCTGTCATATGTTTTTATCGTTATATTCTCCTTATTTTGGTTTTTAATGAAAAATTATGCATGAATTACAATTCGTAGAAAAATCTGCAATTGAATTACTATTCGACGTTTCCCTACATTTTTCTAAATACATGAAATCAATCCAAATAACGAAATCTGAAAAATGAAAGATACAATAATATTTGCAAAGACTGCTAATTCGTGAAATTTTCCGAAATCGGCGTAAAAGAAAATCCTCTTCGGAGAATCGCGTGGATCCGCTCCTGATGTATGCCACTGCCACCTCGGCATCGTCATCACCATCTCCCTGGCTCCTCCGTAACGGATAGGCTTCACCTCCAGAACGGAACTCCAGTCTGCTTCCAGTTTCTCCCTGGAGAATGCTCGTTGGCTTAGTCGGAGTTTGGCTCTCCTAACACGCGCTTCGCAGCCACTCCATTAACTCGCCGCATCACAGAGAACCGCCTCGTAAATTGACAGAAAATCGTCTTCGCCGTCGAAGATTTTCGAATATCCTGCGCGGTGCTCGTCGACCTTCGTCCCTTCGAATAATCCGGCGTCGAAAACGTTTCCCCGAGAGTCAAGAAAAACCGTCCAGGACCATTTCCGACCAGTGCCTCGCGATCATTTTGCAATAGCCGGGGCAGTGTGTTTATTGGACGATAGAAGTCGAAATCCTGAAGCATTTCGACAACTTCGCGCGGATAAGAAATGTGGGGGAAGCAGTGTCGTCGGGATATCGAAGGCAGAGGATGATCCACGTTTCGAAGGTTGCTATCGTAATTAAATATTCCATTAACTGTCCTATAATTTAATATTAATATCAATATATATGTATATATGCACGTGTATGCATCAATATATGTATATATATATATATATTGATGCATACACATACATACATATTGATGCACATCTTTCGATAAAATACGTGCGATACGTTTACTCATGGCGATATACCTGTCTTTACAGTTCTACTCCGGTTTTACCCGGTTCATGCTTCACTCTACTTACGGCTGACCCTGTTCATAATAATTAATGATGTTAGACTCCATGAATGCCTGCGGACTGGTCATGCTTGGCTCTCGCATAGAATAGCCTGTGGTTCATTTGATCCCGTCGGCGCTGAAATTTTCGAAAAACGTTTCCCTCTCGTTTCTGCTGTAACGTTTCCACGCCGGACGCAGTCCGTTCAATCGATTCGACAATTCTCGCACGAGAAATTCCGTGATGGAACTCCGTTCCACGAATCGGTCATTGAGAGAAAGTCCGTATACAATTAGAAACAGCCGGGCTGCATTTAAAGAAATGATAAGAGAAACTGCGATTCCCGTGACCATAAGCGTTTTCAATTTTCCGAAAGTTCCAACGAATGCAGAATAATTTTAGCGAGCTGTTCGAGCAGAGAATCGTGCAGGTTTCTGAGGATTCGTCCGCGGAGCCTCGGGTCACGTTGGCTCTCCTCGTCGCGTGTCAATGTCAGAGGAGGATCAGCCTCGCCTGGCGAACTGGACCCGACGAAATGGACCGGGGGAGGATTAATTACCGAGACGAATCGTGATTGCAGGTGCGCGGTTCCTCGGAGCAAAGGGAAGCGGGCGCGTAAGGATGCGCTTACGCAGGAAGCGGTGCATGTCCCGGTGACGCTACAGAGACTTGGAAAAAAAGCCATACGCCGATCATCACCGCGGAAGCACGGATGACGCGATGAGACTGAGTCCTATTATCTTGTCGTGGGCCACGGCGAGCTGGCTCGGTCCAACCGGAACTACGGCGATACGGGCCCAGCCGTCGAAGGACTACGAGTTGTCCACGGAATTCTTCCTGGTACCTAGCGACGCGGCGATGGACAAGAACGGTTTGGCCAGCGTGGCCAGTGTCATCAGCGTTCCAGCGCCGAACAGGACCGTTTCGGTGTTCAGGCTGCCTCCTGGAAAAAAGAGCCCGGAGATCGAGGCCGATACTCAACCGTACCCGAGGTCCTTGCTCAGACAACGACCCTGGGCTCTTCCTCTGGCGGCCCTTAGCGCGGCCACGATGCTCCTCATGGCTGGCTTCGAGGTTTTCGTACTGCTCAAGGTCGGTTCGTTTACCTTTACGACAGCCTTTTCCAAACTGATTTTATAACGAGTTACACTGAATCGCATTAACACTGAACCTACCGAGCTGTTAAAGCGACCAACGTGTGCTGCTTTAAGAAAAATGACGAGACTGAAATTTATTTGGGCTTCTCGCTGTTTTTGTTATAACGTAAGCTCGAACGAAGGGATTTATTCGATCGTCTCCTTAATACTTTCAGTACCGCGTTACCCATACGTGGATGTCGGAATTATTTGTCCACTTTGAACATTTATTTTTACATGAATCTATTGTATCTTTTTAACTATATTAAGATCCGCAAAACGCGAGAGTGTTGAAAAAGTAATTGCTATCGTACGATTTAACTTTTCAATTCCAATCTGATCAAACGAAATAATTTTATTTTATACAATTTTTGTGGATGTTGGCGTGACTGTCGAGGTGTTAAGAAACAGTCTTTATAGTTTTGACAATTTAAAAGTAGAAAATATGAAAGCTATCATTTTGACTGGCACGGTGTGTTTATTGTTAATACTAAATTAGCACTAAAAACAACTGTTTTATATTTCTTTATAAAAGTAACGATAAGATATTCTGATTTTTAACGAGTCTTATTGTAATATTCGCCGCAAGTAACAAATATATTGAATAAATAACTCATAGATGTATTTTTACAATCTCGATAGTCGTAAATTAAAAAATCAGTTACCCGTCTTTTTGACGGGTCCTGTAAATTCCTGTTAATATTCACGTCCTTTAGAACCGAATTGCTTTTTAATGGCTTTTTCCATGTGAAATCGTATTTATTATTTCTTTATTCCATGTAAGGTCACTTTTACAACAGAGTCATTAGCGACCACGTTTTTTTTTACATAACGTGTTTATATAACCGCACACATTTGAATTTATTTATATTTTGTGAATCTATGGTTTTATGACGAGCCCGAATTATTTCGAATCGCATTAGTATTCCGAACCGTCGCAAAAGAATTTGTTGTTTAATAATGAACGTGGAATTCTACTTATTTTTTGATTTATTTTATTTAAGGTTGCTTTAATATCAGCGTAAATAGCGACCACATTTCATTTACATAATATATTTACGGAATTAGCTTAAATGTATTTATATTTTGTGATATTATGTTTTTTAACAATCGAACGGCGAACATTTTTGACAAAAATATATCTGAGTATGTTTATACTTTTATTTATTAATTTTGTTCCACATATTTTTTAATGTATTCCTTCTAGTGACGCTTAGTAATTTTTGTTGATAGACTGGAAGATTGAGTAAGATGTGTTAGAGGAAGAACAAAGTTAGTTGTGATTTTTTTTATCATTTGTATGTGAATTAAATTGTGTTTAATTCGTAGACGTGAAATAAGAACATTTTTTCTATTGGTTGATTGGAAACAGTTATTATAAAATATGTTTCTTTTATTCGACTAATTTTGACATTTCGACGATTATTGCAAAATTTAATCAAAAAAGTTTTAAATGATATTTCCTTTCCGTCATAGTAGTATTAATTGTTTGAATATAAGTATACTCAGTGGATAGGGTTACTACATGGCACGTAAAAGAAATTTTAGAAAAGGCAGAAAATTTAAAAAATACTTCTCGTATATAAAAGTTCAGTTCAGTGCCTTGAGGCACAGGTGGTTGATATAGCAAAAATTGCCTATTTCCATAACATGTATTACTATAAATAAACTATGAATTAAATATTCACTATTCAAAACTTCGCTGACAAATATAATTTTACAAAAGTTATTCTGTTATAAATTCACACTATTGGGTTGGGGAATAAGTTTGTAGCGTTTTTATATTTTCTTTTATTTTACAACGATTTTTTGCTGTTTGATCGCCATTTTTGAACTTCGCAAACCATTTCCGTGCTGTAGACTCGCCTATGACACCTTCTCCGTATATATGTGTTGCAAATGTCCCGGCTGCTTCAGCAGCTTTTTGGCCTCGATGAAAAGCGAAGAAGAGAAGGTGTCGAAAATGTTGCTTTTTACCGCCTGGATATTCCATTTCTAAGCCTCAAAAGTAATAAAAACTTAAATTACTCAAAAAGACGATTAACACAGTTTTGTAAAGCAGAAAGAGCTCTATCGAATGAATATTATACACTTTGTCAAACAGCAAAAAATCGTTATAGAATAAAAGAAAATATAAAAATGCTACGAACTTATTATCCACCCAATATATACGAATTTATTGTCGTAAGTATGGCGAAATACTACATATCACTTAATGTACCGCAGCCCATTAATCATTTAATAATTCTATTGTATCTAACAGAAATTTAACAAGTTTCTTCTAAATAGCTATATTATTTTGCTGTCAGTATCTGAAAATGTATTAAAAAGCCTTTGCTTTTCAAAATTTACTGCACCTAGTTAAAGTTGTCCCTAGTATAAAAATGTTAATGTATTATAATTGAACTGTACATCATTAGGAAATTTTCATTTTCACAGATTAGTTCATAAAAACTATGACGAGTCAAAAATTATTTTTGTCTGCGAGAAGATACAATCTAATCAAATAATTACTTTTGATTAATACAGCCACTCACTTGTATTTTATGAAATTTTTCATAAATAAATAAAGATCTATAGACTAAATTTTAAGTTTTTTCTTATTTTTAGCAAGTACTTTTATGCAATTTAAGTTTTGCAATCCAGCAAAGCAAGTTTATTATAATCTTCTTTCTGTAATTTTGTACACTTTGTTCGATGGAAAAGTTATCGTACTATAGTGTATTTATTTAAAGCAGAGTTAGAGAGAAAGTGAAATTCATTTCTATTGTGTTTCGATGGAAAATTTCATAGAATCACACAAAAAAGGTGGAGAAATTTGTTTAATCGAAATCGTGAGAGCTTAGTAATACCATTGAATAATCGAAACGTGAGAATTTAAATATTTCGCGGCATAGCATATAATTATTCCTGGAAGTTTTATGCATCTAGAAGCTACATTATAATTACCAACCTGCGGAACATTAATGCATTTATTTATAGTATCTAATTTATAAAATGCAAGAAAGCGTATAAATTAACGAGATCTAATCGTATTTTTATTTTATTTTTACAGTGAGTAATCTTTTTAGTTGACGAAAGGAACGTTTCGTCAGATCTAATTTTTGTAAAATAATCTATGAAATTCAGAATATAATTATTTCCCTAGATCGGATTAAAAAACGTTAAATCTCCCATTCAAAAAAGTACTAAGTTCCCACAAATAATAGGAAACATAAACTAGTGGAACCAGTTACTGTTGACTGACCAATTACTGTGCCTTTAGTTTATTGTCAGGCATAATTAACTTCATATTTATCGAATAAGACATATTAAATTGTTTTATTTAAATTTAATTAATTATTTATTTGTTAGAGATGGAAGTTCTTATAACATTGCAAAAATTATTTCAATTTTTGGATACTGAATTCGCAAAATTTTCTGTAAAGCTTATGAAGAAGCTAAGAATGTAATGAATGAAGATTAATATTCAGTAAAATAAATCGAACTAGATAAGATATCACAATGTTAACTATATTGGTTAAACGTAAAACGTATTGCTTTTTAAACGGAAAAACAAAATAATGATTATTTATTCGAATTTTTGTTTTTAGATTCAATTTCAGTAGTTTATTTACTATACGCAGTAATTGAACCTATTCTTCGCTCGATGCGTTAGTTACTATACCGCTTACCACAGGATAGGCCTACATAACCTCAAATCTCAAATCCATATGTAATTCACAATTTTATTAAAACAGTCATGTTTAATGTGAGCTTGTCAATGACTCTGTTTATAAAAAACAAAGTTTATTAACGGATGTTAAATATTAAAAGTTTATTATGCATAGTAATTGAAACTCAGTATTCAGGGAGGGAGCATAGTGAATGGAGCACAGTATTCAGGGAGGGGGCACAGTAACTGATCTTTGTAGATCATAGGCACACAGTAACTGGCGCCAGAACTTTTTCCTTCATTTCTCCTAATATCAAAAGAAAGTTTGATATTTCTTTCATAGGAAAATTTGTATCAGAGGAAGAATCCTATTTTTATAGTACTTAAGAAATGTCAATTAAATTGCTAAAGTTATTTTTAGCAGCGGAAACTCCTGAAGTCCGTCAACATGGCACAGTGATTAACTCCTCTATCCTACATTTCAATTTCGTGAGCCAGTGTGTCTAAACATTTCCACATTCCAAAGAGCTTTCTCCAGACAATTATTTGCTACATTCTTCGAACCCATTAATCTATCGACATAAAGTTCATATATTTCCAGCAGACCTGGATGATTCTTATCTTCCATGCTCCGCAATATCGGCGACTAATGATACGTGAAACCATCGACTTCAGCCTGTATTATTTTCATGAGAAAGTTAATGCTTATCAGATGTTATAATCGCGAATTTACAAAATACAACACCCAAGACGCACGGTGTGTACCAGATTTCACCGACATACGCGACACAAATATTACGAACAGGACTACCTTAGAACGCAACCGTTATAAAATTCGATATACGGTCGATTGGTCCATCTCCGGAAGAGGAACGCGAAATTTCTGCGAAGTAGATTCGAAAAAAGTAGACGGAGTATCGCACTTAACTACAACTGACCGAGTCGATCGCGTTCAATGATACGGGACCGATTTTTGCGGTCGTACAATCATCGGTTAATAGGGATTTGAGGAAGCGGCGAGTTAAATAGAGCTTAGAGAAAGATTTTCTTTCTCTCTCTCTCTCTCTCCCTCTGTCTTTCTTTTTCTGTCTTTTTCTCTCTTTTTCTCTCTCTTTTGCTTGTTCGTCAGCACGTGGCGGTGCGGCGTGGCAGCGTGAACAGGAGTCGGCGGTAATTGTTTTCGTTCGTATCTCGACAAGCTCCAATAACTAGCACGCTCGCAATTTCGCCAAGACCTAGGCCCAGTTTGCATGTCGATTGCCTATTTCTCTTTTCCCGTGTCGTCTGCTCGTATCGATACACTCCATTGAACGGAAGTAGCCAGGAAAGTCTTCGATGCTAAACTCGATATTCGTGCTGCCCGTAATGTCTATCGTTATATGTATTACCCAACGACTTGAAGCGAAATTCTTACGGTCTTTAGAATGTGCAAAGTACTTTTACGATTGATTTCGCCCCAGATAAGAAAAATGAGCTTGATCCTTCACAGCTTTAAGGATAATCGTAATTCTAATCCAGCCCATACGTTTACTTCATTAAAATTTTTGCTGGTATTACAGGTATTTAGACTCACGAAAAAAAGAAAATTTTATATACAATACAATTGCGTTCTATTTTTTAAATTGCTACAATATAGACGAATAAAATAAAATAAGATAATAATACAGCTTAAAGCATACAGCTCTATAACAGAACAGCTCTAATATAGTCTACAGCTATAATAGAGCTAATATAGTAGTAGTAGTATAATAGAGCTAATATAGTATAGTAGTATAATAGAGCTAATATAGTATAGTAATAATAGTCTACAGCTTGTAGACTAGTGGGACACGAGAGTATTCCAACGCCATTTAAAACTCAACAACCTTTTTAAATCTGGATTAAAAGGCTTGAATATTTTTTTAAACGATGGAAGGACTAGTTCACTGAATAATGACTAAAATGCTTTTCTTTTATTTTTACTATTTACTTGGAATGATAAAAAAATAAAAAAGATCATAAGAGCCAAGCACAATTTTCTTTTATTCTTTGATATTTTTAATAAGTTCAAAATACATTATATTTTTACATTATATCTACTCAGTTTTGCCATGAATGTATAAAGTTCGTAGATTAACGATGATATTGATGGTATATTATTCAGTTTCTCGAATTTCTCTCAAAGGAATATTTGAATTTTATTTTAAGGTGTGAATAAACGCGATAGATTTGCGTAAATTTGTACTTATCGTTCTAAGAAAAACATAATCATTTAAGGTATAATTGATTTAACGACTTTACTTCATCGTTTTATGAAGAAATATCTGTAATGAAAACAGTAAACTATTCAAGAACAATATATGATACATTTATCACATTAAATCAGTCTGCTATTAGAGTATTATATGTTTCGTGAAAAAGGAACACGTATCACGGACTGCATCATAAAGATCGTTTACAAGCCATATAGCATAGCAGTAAGTACTATAATTACAGAAATTAATTCGTACCATTGCTTTGAATTATGTGTTAACTATGTATAATATTAATAGTTCGACGTGCAATGATCTCCGTTACGCGTGACTGGTTTGTCAAGTATGATTAAGACAAAAAAGGATAAACAAGGTAGAGAGTCGACCATGAAATATGCAAAAAGATACTTTCTCATTGCTGTATATGGACTACCTTTTCCTAGGAAGAAAAATTGGAGCATACTGATCAACTCGCGTGTATCGTTATCCTGGAATTTGTTTAACAAAATATTGGGTCGTTCCGAAAGTTGTTTCGTTCTTTCGCGAGTAAAAGCAAACTTTTCGACATTTCTCTGGTAACTTTGAAATTTTATTGTTTTACATTTGGAAAAATACTGAATCAAGTGTTTTTTTAACACCCTTACAAAATGAAATTTTTATGAAAAACGAAACAACTTTCCGAACGACCCAATATCTACACGCGTATTACGGCAGATTTTCCAACTTTTAGACTCACAGTAAATTTTTTCTTATGTATATTATGAAACAATTTTTATATTAGAATGTTATTTATTTTATTCGTATCTTTCGAAATTTCTATTTCGTATTTATCGTATTTTTATTTTTGTCAACTGTTTAGTTATTTGTTGTAATTGTGTTTTTTTAAAATTTCTTTTTAATTATTTTTTATACTTGTATTTTTAAAAATTTCTTTTCAGTCGTTTGTCTTGTTGATATCTTTTTTAATTTCTTTTTAGATATTTACCTTACTTGTATCTTGTTAAATTTCTTTTTAATTATTTGTCATATTTGTATGCTTTCATATTAAATTTAAATCTTGAACGTGAAGTTAAACGTTTTTTTCTACAGGTAATAATAATACGTTAATTTAGAAGTTTTAAAAATAAACTGAATATATTAATCTCTGATAAAAGTTTTATGTATCTTCTTCTGTATCCTATTTTGCGTGTGTTTGTGACTAATAACGAGAGTATATTTTTAATCATCCAGCGTTTATTATATATAATATATGTATGTATTAACCCTAACAAAATTCATTATTTTTCAGGCAAGAGTAACCGCGCCAAATAGACGACATTTATTTTTGGGACAAGCTCTCCTTTTAGGCCTCTTCCTCTTGGCAGGACTCTCAGCAGCAGCGTCTCTCAGTCAAAATCCTCTATCCTGCGCCGCCTTTCGACTAGTTGGTTTACCCGCTACTCTTGTATTTGCGGCTCTCTTGGTTAAATGCGTCTTCTTACTTTCTTTGAACAGTGGCATTTATCTACCTGCACCGTATCAGGTGAGTTTACTAATACTTTAACACTAGAACGATAATAAAATTTTCCAAACCACCAGGAAATTTTTCGAGTATGAAACATATAGTGGTTAATAAACATTATAGTTTTCTTTTAACTGTAACATCCATCGTCAAAGACATGTAATATTCAAGCATTAAGAGCATCTACCAAGTTATTATTAACGCTAGAATTACCAAACCAGTTAAAATAACTCGTTTCTGACCCTTTCTCTTAAAATTCTTGAAGTTATAAAAATGTTTCGATGAGAAATGTTTAGATAAAAACTTTCTTATCGAAGTGTACATACAGTGACTCGCATTAATATTCGGACACGATATTGTTAGAAGAATTATTGCTCCTTTTTATTGTTTATGATAGTATTATTGAATCAATTGTTTTCTCATATAATAAAGCACTTCTGAAAGTAAGTAGAAACATAAATTTTGTTTATTTATTGCACATGTTCTTTTGTATAATAAGCGATAAACAAGATTGTGATAAAATTAAACGTCGCAAAAATATTCGGACAGTGAATGAATTACATTAATTTTATATAAAATGAAAATCTTTTTAATCATGTTATCATAATA